AATGGTGGACAATCACACAATACTGGGAGTCATGGCCTAGCCAAACTGATACACATATTTTTGGCGGATATAATTCAATCCATGACACCTCTCAGACAGACATACCCTCCAGCATAAAATTGCTATGCATTTGAATTGTCTGGCTTGTTGAAAGTAGCTCTTCCCTCACATAATTCCATAATATCTTGTGTTGTTGTTGTTAGTTGCTGTCTAGTCAGTTCGGACTCATGACGACCTCACATATGACAGAATGAAAAGTTGCTTGGTCATCTTCGCGATCGTTGGGATGCTCGCATCCACTGTTGCGGCCACTGTGTATTTTGAGTGCCTTCCAACCAAGGGGATTCATCTTCCAGCACTATACTGGGCAACATTCTATTGTGATCCATAGAGTTTTCATTGACTAATTTTCAGAAGTAGATTGTCACACCTTTATTCCGAGTCTTTCATAGTCTGGAAGCTTCCTTAAAACCCGTCCACTGTGGGTGACCCTGCTGGTATTTCAGATACCGATGGCATAGCTGCCAGCATCATAGCAGCACACAAGCCACCACAGAATGACAAACTGACAGACAGGGGGTACTGTAGATTATACCGCTAGGCTAGGGAATTTCACACTTAGCCCATCCTGTGAACTTTCTCTATTTTATCACTGCCTTATGTTATTTGTGGGCATATTTGTTTACTTTAATTGCCCATCAAGTCCCCTACGCACTTCTTAGTTATGTTTGTGTCCCTAGAAGCCCCAAGGTGTGACTTGGGGAATGGAAGATGCTTAATACACTTTTGTAAAATAGATTTTTTTTTTTTAAGTTAGAATGGAATTTCCATATGAGCTTATACATGTTTCTGTTCTGTATAGCTCTGGCTCAGACCACTCTTTGGATACACTGCATCTAACATTAATAAATGGGATCCAATAGTACTACAGTATCGTTAATGTTTCAAACCCAATCTCCTGAAAAAATAATTTATTCACGATAAATTCATTGAGCTCATGTTATGGAATTTGAAACTTACTAAATTAATAAAACAAAGCCTTCAGTCATGAGAATTGTGCTAGACTGTATTACTGTTCAAAATATTTGATGATCCTCCCAGTGGGAATGTTCTAGATCAGTACACCATGGAGGTAAAGCTTTACCACGTGACTTGCAATGCCCCTCCATTTAGGAGGATTATACCTACCTGACTTGTTTTAATGCTGGTGGCATAGCGGTTAAGAGCGCTGGCTGCTATCCAAAAGGTCGGCAGTTCAAATCCACCAGGTGCTCCTCGGAAACCCTATGGAGGAGCTCTACTCTCTCCAACGGAGTCATTATGAGTCGGAATGGACTCAACGGCAATGGGTTTTGGTTGGTTTTTTGCCTTGTCTGGTGACATATGGGTGGAAATGATGAATGTCACTTCTGGGCGGAAGCTGTGAGAGCCAGCTGGGGTTTTATTTTGGTCTCTTTTCTCTTAAACAATGAGACCCACAATGGATCAGGCACAAGCTGCTCCATTAGCTCAGGTTCATCAGCTCGGGTCCAAAGGGAAAATGATATGCAATGGAACCACAGCTGACCCATAATTGACATTACAGTGAGTGAGAAAGAAATCTTTGAGATTTTTGGATGCCATTTATTACCACAGCATAGCTTAGCCTAAACTGATTTATAGAAAAGTGTTAAGAGAAACGTAATCCCATTTACCTGCATTTATATTACGAATCACAGTGAGCTTGGACTAGATGATCTATAAGAAACATTATGACCTTGTACCATTCGGGGTTTGTGGTTGCAACTAAAGACATCAACTCCTTCTAACGTAGAGAAGGTTTTTTTTTTTTTTTTTTAGTTCTTAGAGGCAAGGCTGGAGTATTGATTTGGGAAGTGGGCAGGAACCAAGAGGAATCCAAGCCTCAGTCTGATTAAGATGCTAGGTACTGGATACTGCCACTGGCATCCCCATTTCTGGCACCGTCTGTGATCACTAGATACTAGAGGCCACCAGTAGTAGTGATGCCAGAATGAACTGTGAGCTGTTCCAGCATCTCTGTGTTGCTTGCCCAAGACTCATCTCTTCAAAGAGAGTATCAGATTGGCCAGACTTAGGTCTTGTGCCTGTATCCTTGCTGCTTGGGTTCTGGAAGAGCAAGTATCTGGCCTTTGAGGCTAGATACTTAGTTGGTTCCCTAAATGTAAGAAGAACCTTCAGATGATAAGTAAAACCCATCTCTCTCCCCCCAAAAGACAAATGTCCCTTACAAACTCTTAGAAGATAAGAAAACTTTAAAGCTCCTAATCTGTATTTCTTATTAAGTCATGCTTCACTTTATGGGGTATAACATAAGCAGTGTAGTATAAATAATTGCATTCTAAATGAAAATTTATGAGGTGGTTGGATATATTGTAGGTCAGCACTGTCCAATAGAATTTTCTATATCTACACTGTCCAATGAGGTAGCCACTAGCCACATGTGGCTGTTGAAAAGATGCTAATTAATATAACTAAGGAACTGAATTTTGAATACTATTTAATTTTAGTTGGTTTATATTTAAATAGCCATGTGTGGCTAGTGGCTTCCATATTGGACACCATAGTTGTAGTCCATTCAGGCATTGCCCCTTATTTTCGCCATGAAGCTCTTCCCATCTTTTGTGTTAGATTTATTCCTAAGTATTTTGTAAGTTTGTTATTGAAATTGGTATCTTTTTAAAATTTATATTTTCTGTGTTTTGTTGGTTGTATAAATGGAATTTATTTTTGTTAATCATTTCTTATGTAGCCACCTTGTTAAACTCTTTTAATGATAAGTTTTCTATAGAGTCATTGGGATTTTCTAATCATCTCGTCTGTGTTTAATATAGTTTTGCTTCTCCCTTTGCGATCCTCAAACTTTTTCTTTTCTTTTTCTTCAGTATGCTAGGATCTCCAGTGCAAAGTTAAACAGAGTGTTCCTTGAGAGTAAGGACTGTGTGTTTTAGTCAATATATATTTTAAATTGTAATAAATAGAAACCTACTTCAAGATTAACTTAACTTAAACATTGAATTTGTTAGAAGGCTAGCAGGATGTCTGAGAGGACCCCAAAATGACCTAATCATTTTTATTGTACCTGAACCTGGGGCTCACTTATCTATAGCTTTTCATCGAGATACCAGGAGGGATTTCTTTAAGACTCGCCTTAAAATGGGATACTAACTCCAAGTGCTCATAGTAATAAGTAGGTGTCATTTAAAGAAAGGAATCATTAATACATAGCAACCTTGACCTCTTTTTCTTCCATTAGTGATATATTAGGTATTTACAGAAGAATATAAAGGTGACAATCCTAACTAGATGATGGGAGTCAGACTAGGTCAGTGGTTCTTAAATGTTTTGGGTCAGTAAACAAGTTCATAGACCAAGACAGGTAGAGACCATCTATCCAACTTGTGTCTGCTTACTTGCCAACGACACACATCCAACAACAAAAACCCCTAAACCTGCCCATTGGGAAGAGTGTTTTGACTCACCCTACTCTAGCCCTATAAAATAGATTAGATGAAGAAGTGAATGGTGGAAGAGACCAGAATATATCTAGTGTTCTTAAGTGTCAGTTGGCTAGTGTCCAAGTAACTGCAATTTAAAAAACAACTGTCCTTATTCCTTTTTCAGGTACTGTCTATAAGCTACACACAGAGACACTCGGATACCTCCTTACATTTTGGAACAGCCTCAGAATCACTTGTAGGGCCTTCTTAGAACCCTTTTTGGAGAACTCTTGGATTTCTCAAGGCTTACGTTAAGTCAAGATACAGTATTTCCCTAAGAACACTTGTTAATAGCTGGTTGGTATTAGCAGTTACACAAGTACATTCCTATTCTATCACTCTTTGACTGCGATTATGACATAAGAGTCTCAGGTGGCATTTCCTTAGTGACCCTGCAGATTGCTTGTTGCAGTTTGGATCAATGTCCATGACACTATTTTTTTTTCTTTTGGAAAATTAACTCTAATGTTCATACACTTTTTCTATGTATTTTTAATTATTATGTGTTTTAAAATAAGATAACGAATATCTCTTCCTCTTCCCAACTTTCAACGAATTTGTATCTTATAAACCTTTATTCATGTTTCCTTGGGGAAATATCCTGCAATGATTAAAAACAAAATCTCCTTCTATAAAAGAAAAATTCATTTAAACTCAAACTAGAACTCAATCTTTATTACGTGTCTCATCTTCACATGTATTCTAAAATTGTTGTTTTATATGTGTGATAAACTTTCTCAAATATAACCTTTCTAGTGCTGAATGAAGAAGAGACTACATTAGATTACCTGAAAATGATTCTCCAAAGAGCCAGAGATTATTTAAGTAACTGTGGGCCCAACTAATCATAAAAGTGAGATCCGTGGAAAATAAACAACCTAAATCTACCCCACAAAATATACTGAGAGATCACTAAGAACCCCTCTGGCCTCCAGGGGCCTGTATTTGGACCCATGTCCCAAACCCCAAATATAAAGCGTGAAATTCTGAGGACCTTCTTCAATACCGCCTTTCTCCCTACTGCTTTATATTTAAAGATGACAGAAGGCACATTTTAACAAGATTAAATGAAAAAATTTAAAGCTTAATTTAAAAAACTTGTTATTCCACAATTCACAACTGTTTTTTATTTTTCATCTATTCGGTCATTCTTTGTCCATTTGCACATTCGTTTTTATCATTGTAATCACAGCATCCTGTGATTGTGCTCACGGGATCCGTTTATTTCCACTCCTCGTAAACTTTTTACGAGAACAATGTTGTTTTGTACCAGCTCTGGTCGGGGCGCAAGAGTGAGGGCACGAAGGGCAGCCCACTCGGAGGAAAACAGGTGTAGCGAGGACGGCAGGGCAGAGGTGGGCGAGGGCGGGGCGGGCCCGAGACCTCGAGGCCCCGCCTCCTAGGCCCCACCTCCCCCGGGCCCCGCCCCGGCCCGTCGCCATGTTGTTCCCTCCGCGCTGGCTGGGAGCAGCTGGAGCCGGCGCTACCGCTGTTGCCGCCCTGTGCCCGCCCTTTTCCGACCCTCTCTTTCCCCAGCGCCCTTGGACAAGCGGGCCCGGAGCCCCCAGCGCGTCCTCTGTGTGTCCCCAGGTGAGGCGGGCGTGGGACTCCCTTCGGGCCGGGCGGGGGGCTGGAGTGCGCCGGCGCTGGGGTCTGAGTGGCAGCCCGCAGGCCCGAGCGCGGCC